GAGTATAACATTATAACATGATATAAAACTCAAAAAAGTTGATTTTACATGATATAGCCCCTTTAATCGAATTCTAGTTAGTGTGTCTGGAAAGTCTGGTTCGTTTGGGGAGGTGTGAATGTGTAATGGATCTCTGATCCGGACCAGAAAAGCAAACTCTGGTCCGCCTGCAAACATAGGTCTCATTTTGTTTGATGAGTGGGTCAATTGCACGTGTGAACGCCAAGCAACAGTGGGTTTCACACATTTACTCATAAACTTTTCACAAAAARTCCACTCTAAAAGCAATGAACTATTACTTTAACAGCAAAGTTTAGAAAGCTTAGACATAGATTTTGGTCTCGTGTGTTTATCACAGATTATTTCCTGTAGTGACACGTTTTCTTAGTCTTGCCTCATTTTAACTACAGTATAACAAGAGACTTCAGTTTCAGGTTCAGGCTCTGTGCTTTAACAATACTGCCTTGGAAATGAAACTTTGGTCATTCTCGCTCAGTTTAATATATTCAAGAGTTTTTAACCATGTCCCACAAAGTGAATTTGTCCCACGGACCCCCTGCATCTCGCTCATCTTCATCTTTTGCTCTTTTTAACTGTCAAAGACGTGACAAACAGGAAACATGTTCCTGTCCAAAAAAAAGCACCTCCATTTATGGTCACTATCAGCTCATAACATGGGGATTTATGTGCTCTGCATCACTTTGATTACTTTATCCACTCAAGCCATTATGTTTGGGGGTCATTTCATGAAAATGATTGTGACGTTCTCCATTTTTCTTCATCACACAGATCTGTCATCTGTTAAAAAGATGCAGTGCAGCAGCTGTGATTTATGCCGTCCTATTGGTACCTCTCGAATCAGGGCTTCAGCTTTGATGTAATTTTCAACGTAAATGTCCTTTTTAATCCATGAATAGAGCTGATGCCACGACTGCACTTCCCAGCTCCTGCAGTGTACTTTCATCAGAACAGTGATCAAACTGTTGGGTAGCTAAGTGAAGGCCTGGAGACCTAGATTCACATTCTGAATACATGCATTAACATTCATTTGCATTACATAACAGAAGGCAT